CGAGCTTTCTATAGGTTGAGAATTAAAATTGACATTTATCTTAATTACAAAAATATTACTTTTAATTCTGAATGTATTCAGAATTAATAATCAATTCTAAACCAAAAAAAAGATTCAGACAAACACCTTCTATTAAACAGAAAACTACTTGTGCCTGGCTCAGTTTCTTTAAAAATATTATCCAAGGTAACTGTTTTAGATATCACATTAATAAAACAGGATAGTAAAATTTTTTTACCTCCACATCTTTTTTCTCTCCTTAACTGTTTGTTAAAAGATGCCACCAACTGACTATAGCTCAACTTTATGGAAATCAAGAACTCTTAATATAAGACTCCTTACGTTAGCCATGCATAATCAAAAATCCTTGCATTACATTGATTTTACACATTAATCATAAAAACACTATGGACACTAGATGGAAAAACTACCTGATGCTAACAGATGCTGAACTACTATAATGAATCATTAAATTCACTATGAAACACTCCTACAAGGTAAATCTGTAATTAAATGATTATTCTATCTGGAAAAACAAGTGGGGGCAATTAAGGTTTTTTTAATTGTTGCCTCATTAGTATTTGGTATTTCAGTAGCACCTTAGCAGCTATGAAGAGTGGAAGATATATTAGTGTGCAAACTTCTACCTGAGCAGAGTTAAGCAAGCCAGCAGAATTCTTGCTTCTTAAAGCGCAAACTACTGGCATCAGGAATGTAATGACACAGCAAAGATAGTACTGACACCTACAAAATAAGCTTAACTAAAGAATTCAGCTATTATGCATTGCAACTGTGTTCTTGCAGCTGTCATCTGGAGATCTTGAGGTCACTTCCCTGGTTTGAGAGAATCACCCCGCAGTAGTCTAGTGAGCTGCTCAAATTTAATATCTTAGTCAATGGTGGACCTGGCTACTTTTGTCGTATTACATAACCACTGCTGCAGAAACACCATCATGCCAGGAAAAAAAAAGAAGCATACTTCAGCACTATGAACCTAACATCTCACAGACACAGATGGTTCAATGATTTCAGAAACTCTTGACTTTTGTAATTAGTCAGGTTGCTAACATGATGCAGCTGAGCTGAACCCAAATAGTGGATACCTTCATAGAATCATAGAATGGTTTGGAAGAGACCTTAAAGATCATCTAGTTCCAACCCCCCTGCCATGGGCAGAGACACCTCTTGCTAGACCAGGCTGCTCAAAGCCCCATCCAACTTGGGTTGGCCTTTGTCCTGGTTTCAGCTGGGATAGAGTTAGTTTTCTTCTTAGTAGCTGGTAGAGTGCTGTGTTTTGGATTTAGGATGAGAATAATGTTGATAACACACTGATGTTTTGGTTCTTGCTGAGCAGAGTTTACACTGGTCAAGGACTTTTCAGCTTCTTGTGCTCTGCCAGGTGCATAAGAAGCTGGGAGGGAGCATAGCTAGGACAGCTGACCCAGATTGGCTCAAGGGCTATTCCATACCATATGACATCATGCTCAGTGTATAAGCTGGGGGAAGAAGAAGGAAGGGGGAGACATTGGGCATGATGGCATTTGTCTTCCCAAGTAACCGTTACGCGTGATGGAGCCCTGCTTTCCTGGCGAATTCGCTCCCCCACCCCACCGGGGGGGAGTGAGCGAGCTGCTGTGTGATGCTTAGTTGCTGGCTGGGGTTAAACCACAACAGCCCTGAACACTGCCAGGGAGGGGGCATCCACAACTTCTCTGGGCAACCTGTTCCAGTGCCTCACCACCCTCTTAGTAAATAATTTCTTCTTTATCTCTAATCTAAATCTACCTTCTTTCAGTTTAAAGCCACTTCCCCTTGTGCCAGGCCAAGCAAAGCCAACACCAAAGCTTGCATTCTCGTTATTTGTTTGTGACAAATTCTTGGCATTTGCGACATCTTTAATATGTACCAACGTGAGGGGCTTGCACTGTTGCAAAACGGGCAAGCAAATTTCTCATGAATAGATACAATAACCATGTTACACACATCCGTCTGATAAGGGTAAGTACTGCACTGTGTATAGCTGCAAAAACCACATGCAAAATATGAAAAAACATTTGACAATCTTCTCTCTTCATAAAACACGTACACTAAATCCAGAGCAGAGGAGTCTAAAACTGCATATAAAATATTTTTAAACACTAATCATATGCTACATAAAAATATATATAGTTTCATGTATTTTCTATATAATCCAAAGCCTCGGTCCCACCTTCCTGTGTAGGGATTTTAAAAAAAAAATAAAAAAATATTCAGCAAGACAACAGTTCACTGCCTTTCCTTTATTAGCACTAGAAGTTTTATGTAAGGGATATGCACAAATGAGACCCACATTTTCCTACTTAAAACATAAAGGTCTCTATTGTTCCATGTTACACCAGTACTGCTATGAAAACTTAATTTCTCCAACTTTTTTTTCCCCTTGAAGAACAGAACTACTGTTCACTTAGCTGTTCCAAACAGAATGCATGCTCAAAGGGTGAGATAAGGGGAAAGAAAGAACAAATTACCACATTCATTTACTACTTTCTCCTTCTTCCTTTGATTATTAGCATGAAAGCTTCCTACAAATGCTCATAATTCATGAAATTATTTTAACCCAATGCTTACGTTCAACAGGTCCATATATTTGTCACATCCACTGAGTTAATTTCTACGTTTGTGTAAAACACATCTATAATGCCAATAATATAAGCCATAAACACATAGAAATATTATTGCAGAAATAATACTTGACATTAAAGTAACAGAAAAATAATGCTAAGAATGCGTGATGCCTATTATACATAAAGAGATTAAATACAGAGGTTGATAAGAAGAAAAATATTTGTAGTCACCATTTGGAAGAAGAAAGACTTAGAAACATGTGGTTTTAAGCTTTTTCTGACCATGAGAAAACATTCTGTGCATTGTAATTATACAGTGCTTTACTGTGCCTGTTAATCTTTTGTTCATTTGCAGACAGAACTTTTCCTACTTAAATAATTATTCAGTGAGTGTTTATTACATTTATTTCTGAGTTTCTATATGTACTACAAAAAAAAAAAAAGAAGGCTTCAAATTAAAGCCCTCATAGACAAAAATGCTGTACATTCAGTATTATGCAGCGGCAGTGGAAAGTGGTGAAACAGGCATGCATGTAAAAGCTAAGGAACTCAAGTCAACTTGGAAATGCCCAATGAAGAAACCTAAACACATCCTTCCCTTTTCATACCTATACAAATGACAATTACACTAGACCTCAGCTATGAAACATGCTCCCTTTTCTCCCCCAAAAAAGCTTATCATGATAATACAAATGTACTGAGCAGGTATCATGTTAGGTAAATACGTGGCTCATATTCATCCCTTCAATGGAGCGTGACCATGCACCACGCAGGGCATGTGCTGTACCAACAAGTTCGTACTTCCACTGACTAAGATAGTGAATATCACAATAATGAACAGCACCACAAACCTTTGCAACCTAGTACAGAAACCTGACATACACACATTCATGGAACTCTTCAATCAACAATTTAAACAGAAAAAAGACTCGTTTCTAGAAGGATATGAGGATGTTACTGGAGGGCACAATTGTCGTGGAGCTCCTGAGCCACCAAGTCCACTGTTCTGTTACCGCTGACAAAATTTCATATAACCCATTTCATCAATTTTATGGTTGGACTTGATGATCTTAAAGGTCTTTTCCAACCTAAGTGATTCTATGATCCTATATAAGTAAGTTTTCCTCCATTTCAGTCCGACTGAAAGCTGTTGCAGAGTCTGAGCACTAACTGATAGAAATTTCTTCCAGTTTTCAACCTACATTTATTCAGGACCAGTTTATAAGCATAGCTCATCTGACCACATCTTCCTTCACCTTGGCTATTTTCCCCTCCCTAGAGCTTATTCACACATTTTAACAGAGAAATATCACACCTTTTTTTGCTAAGCTCAGTAAACCTCTTTTCTCTTACTCTTCTTGAAAGAGTTTCTCTTGCTGTGATCATCCTGCTGGCCTTTCTTTCTTAGTAGTCACATTTCAGACGAATCCTTCAGAATCAGTGGTCAAAATCTCTTTTATAGATTCCATAGACAACTATTTAATTTCTACCATCACAGAAAATCTTTTACTACTTAAAATAATTTATTAAGGATGTGCTACGTCATTTCTACAATAATAATTTATGCATTGATGATTTCATTCTAAACTTAGAATTTTTTGTATTATCTAATTTAAGAGAATATAAATGAGGGCAATATCAGCACATTAATATACATTATTCAACTATTACATGATTTTTTTAAAAATTATTAGCAAGTGTAGAAGCATTATAAATATCGGTAACTTGGGAAAAATACTATGCTTTCTTTTTTTGAGCCACAACATTTTTCACTGTGATCTAATGCTGCCATTTATCATTTTATACAATTTATTCCATGGAATTATTATATCATCAATATATCCATCAAATGTTTATATACACATATATGCCATATATATTCAACTATGTATATCTATAATATATATTAATACATCTATTTTTACATATATATGTATAAATATAAATGCATATTATATATATTTTCTATTTAAAATATAAATATCTATAAAATGTGTATATATTTTATATCTGTATATAGCTATATTACATTCTTTTATATAAATAATATATATCAACATGTATAAATTTATACATACATCTATGTATACGTTTGTACCTATATACATTTTATATAGATATATATGTATATACATACATATGTATAAATTTTATACAGATATAAAATTACACATTACCTCATGCCTATTGTAAAGTAAAACTAATTTTAAAGGATGAGAATACATTCTTCTAAAAAGCAGTGTTCAACATGAGGTTCAATGTGGTTAAGTGAAGTATGCTATTCAGTGTTACTAAGTGTTTACTAGGCGAAGACTTTTTTTTTTTAATTAAAAGGTCATCAGGGTATCAAAACTTCTACAAAAAACAAACAAAAAAACAACACTATGAAAAGCTTACCTCATACCATAAAGACTTCTCAAGAAAGGAATTAAATTCCCATTTTATTAAGGACTGAATTATAGTTAGCTCTTCTGTTGTAATCCTAGAACGCTTCAAGCCACTGTTGTTTCTCCTTTGCTCAACATAATTCCAAGCAACGGTTCCTATGTGCCCTGAAGGTAAAGTCCTAACAATTGCTCTCGTTCCAGTATAAATTGATTTTTTAACTTCTTTATCATTTTTACAGAAACGTCTTATTAATAGAGTAGAACGTTCCTTTTTGTTTCTAAAAAAATCCTCTTCCATCTCTTCTTCACAGTTATCATTACAGTCTTCAAAATGGCTCAGAAAGGGCTTTGAGGGCATTCTTCCAGAAAAGTTATTTCCACAGAAGTTGTGACCTGAGCATGCCACTTTAACCTTTTGTGGTGCTCTTTCCAGACATAAATACTTATCCCTTAAAGCGTCTTCATACAACTGCTGCCCATTTTGAATTTCACAATTATTTGTCAACTCCATTAATCTGCAAGTGCAGGATGAGGAACCAGTGGTGCTACCATCGCCAACACTCACTGGCTGCAAGCAGTCATCCAAAAGGAAGCCGTTGTGTAAACCGCACAAAGCCTTTGATATATTCCTTTCACTAGCACAATGAAAGTGAAAAAAGGCCACTTTATCAGTATCATTGCTGTCGTTCTTATTTACTGCTGTCTGGCTTCTTAACGAAGGTCCATTCATTTTCAGCTGAATTTCAGCAAGCATGGCTCTTTCCAGTGACACAGGAATTCCAGTTTCCAGGCATGCCTCTCTCCCTGCTAAAGGATCACAAGATTTATACAACTGGCTGCACGGGACATTGCTCTTGTAGTTTTTCTGTACAATGTTACAGTTAATGTTAAGAAATTCCACTGAATCAGGGACGGAGCTGTTCCTCTCCCAGAAGTTTTCATTACTATTGTCATTAGTCAGTTGTTCTTTCGCCAGAGAGAATATTTTGGGCACTGAGCCCTGAAGACTTTCTTCTTCAAGTCTGTGTAAGTATGAGAGAGCGTGTGTGGTTTGCCTTCCCGGACTGGCAGTGTGTCTTTTTATAACACTGGTGTCCAAAGCATTTGCAGTATTTTCATCTCCAGCTGACTGAGCAGGTATCGCTTTCCCCTGTACCACAGAGACGAGAACAGACGCTGTCACTTCCTCAGAGGTCATCTTGAGACAGTCTTTAGTTGCTAGATGTGTGCTGGGGATGGGGGGGCGTCGTCTAGCAATCCTCACACCATGATTTCAGTGTCATAAAAGATTCAGTGCTAAATAATCAGGGAACACATGGTAAAATACACATTGACCACTTGTTCTTTTTGAACTGGGTTTTAAAAAAAAATAACTTTTTGGACTGTTGAGCTACTAGGCTTTCCCAGCCTTTGATTACCGGCATGAAATACCAACATTTTAAACTAGCTTCTTACTGTGACATAGCCATTCGGCTTGTCTCTTCCCACAATTAATTCTTCTATCATATGTAGCACGCATACTGCTGCCTCAGGTTGTAGAAGATGACCAAACACATAATCCGTGTCAAAGACGCATCTCCCCATAGGGCATCCAAAAAGTTGGTTTTCTGTAAAGAAAAGAAAAAAAAAAAATATATATATATATATATCTCGAACAGAATCCATAGCACAAAATCACCATCACAACTATAACAGAAAGAAATTTTTTTTTATGTAAAGAGAAGGAACACAAAACAACAAGTTAATTATACTGAGACCTAGAGAATTCCAAAATATACATGTAAATCTGTCTTAAAGTCTCACTTTACAATTTGGGGAAATCACAGTCATGTTCTACATTTTAAATAGCTGTCTTCACTCTGCTATGGAAAGCTACGTGACTGCAGAAAACGAATTTTATTGAAGCTGTAACACTGAAATTGAACATACAAGATATACACAAAGATAAAAAAGGAAATGTCTTTTCTATAATTTTTCTGACTCATAGCCAGGATAAGTTAAAACATTTTAAAAAACAAAATCATTTCTAAACCTACACTGTCTTTTAAGACTAATTATTTTCCTGTTCAGAACTGAACTCTACCACAACTACAATTGGTTTGGTGTTATGTGGTTTTTGTTTCCATTAAACTTTATGTTGTTACTCTGCAAACATGAAGAAAACACATTGTTTTTGCCAGAAGTTTATGACTGAAAAAGCATGAAGGCAGAGTAGGGTAAAAGACTGAAATATTCTCAATAATCTTTTTGACCCCTTTACTTATATGCCTTAAGCTAAAAAGTTAACCTGCCCTTCAACTTTGCCATTAATTCTCAGCTCCTTCCCTGCAAATAGCATGGTAGAAGTAAATCTTGGAATCAGAAAATGAGAGGTTACAGATAGTTCAATGAAGGAAACAGAAGAATAAAAGGGACAGACCCAGATAAATCATGGTGAATTAAAATTAAACAAATATAGGCTTATATTTCAGTTTATCATATCTAATGTTTAAAAACATTAAGTATTATTAAAAATGTGGAAAATGCAGAAAGTTATATTAAGGCCTAAGTTTACTAAAATAGCCTAAATTCAACAGAAACAAGCAAAAAAATATGATCTTGAAACTTCAGTGGCAAAGCATATCACAAAACTGAGGCAAATCAGTGGGTAGGTACAACAAGTAGAGATGACTGAACTGAGCAATCAAATGTTGACCCAGGCACTAGCTACATGAGGAGAAGGGACTACCTTCTTCAATTCAGTTCATGCAGTTTTGCTAACCATAATAATTAAATCATCTATAGTTGATAAGACAACTAGGAATGATGGGGGGGGTGATAAAATCAGGAAAGCTTAATAATGAAAGTAATTTGAAGTGTAAAATCTATTTTGATACTCTTCTCAAGTAACTATGGCTAACAGTTTTATTTTAAATCATTTTAGAGTGTTGGCTTTCATTTTTATTGATTCTTCATCTAAAAGCAGTTTGGCACAAACCAAAAGGTAAAGCACACTCTTCGGTTAACGCCTGTATTTGCTAGGCTATTTTCTCACACGATGAAATGCAAAAGTGTAACTAAATGTATCATTTTTCCTGCAGGCTCACCAAAAAGGCAAAACAAATTTAAGAAAAGTTACATTTCGCTACAAATCCATGGCTTAAAAGCTTGCTAGCCAGTGAACAGCATTCTTTCTTCAGACAGTAACTACAGTAAAAGCATGAAAAACAAAATTGCAATTTAATATTTCAATCAAGGTTTCAATTTTATTGGTTTAACAACAGAAGAGAGATCTGGGAGGGTCGCAAAGGAAAGTGACAGAGACAGAACAAAGAGCCACAAGTTTTACATTCTCCATGCATTACAAAATGCGTGTGCGTGCCAGAGCGGCCAGACGAGAGTGAAGATGGGAAGCTCAGATCCTGTACAAGAGAGAGATTTAGCACCAGAAAGGAAACTAAAAGCTACAGTTCATGGAAAAGTTGTGTAGAAGGAGATAGCAGTAGTTGGATAGAGTAGCGGGGACAGGACTTAAACTGGGGGTCACGTTACCAAGACAGTTCACAGAGCACCCTATAAAATACTGTGACAGCACAAATGTAGAGGAGAGACAATGAGAAACCAACACCCAAGCAATTCTTTAAGTCTGTATTCCCTGATAGTCCCTGTATCATTAAGTTGTACCCTGAAATTCATTTCAGTTCACTTTCTTCAATCTTAACTATTTCACCTTAAAAAAAACAAAACACAAAACACCACACTTAAACACACGCACGCACACACAAACAAGTACTTCAGCAATTCTCTTATTCTACCATTTCCTATCCCTCTTCCCTGTCCTCCATCCTCTTCAGATCCCCAGGTAACGGCTTACGTAACTTTTTGCCACTACACAGTTGAATAAAACTGTGAGCAGTCCATTAGAAATGTTCCCATCTTATTTCTTCTGGCAACCACTCTGTGCCTTCCAGTCCAAATCTACATATGATGATGCTGATCAAAGGAGAAAGATCTAGGAGGAGCTAGAAGGAGAAGCAGCTGGGGTTTTTTTCTTGTTCTCTTAAGTTTCTTTGTTGCTGTATCAACCTTGTAAGAGGTATGAAACACCTACATGTATTAGCAATAGTCTTCAGTACTGATTTTCTAAAGATTTCTCTCATCTATCAAAACATCTCAGTCTACTGATTCATCTTTCCCGTTTGCATCAGAAAAATTCCAGGCAATCCAATGAAAATACAAGACACCAAAATATATTCATAAATGTACTCCCTGTAAAATTGCTAACGCAAAGATAAAAAATAATGGAATGGTTTGTCACTGTAAAGAACATACGGCTTATTACACTGGTTGCCAAATTAAATTCTTACAAAACAACATCACTCCACAAGGCAAAAAAGACAACATCGTTATGCAACTTGAACATCACACAGTGAATTCAAGATCACAAAACTGACCATGCATGTTAACTTGAATTTTTTTACATCATTCTTTATGGAGAAACTTTAAAAAAAAAAAAAATTCACTGATTTGCTTCTGTAAACAGAAAGTTGCTAAAATCTGAGGTCCATGTATATCCGAGACTCTGTCCACAAAGCTCATTCTGAGGCCAGGACTGCTCTTCCACTCTCCTCCTTCCTTCAACATCATTCTCCCACCTCTCTCTCATGCCAAAGTGTCTCCACACATGTCCTCCTCAAACTGCTTCTCTCAGATCTTTTTCTTTTCTCTAGAAACTTTATCTCAAATCTTCCCCAACAGTGGTTTTGTTGGTCACCTCTCTCCTCAACTCCAGAGGCTACATGCTTGCCCGTTTCTCTCTACCAGCATCACTCTTCCCTAGCTATCCATGCCTATGTTTGAAATCCATCCCATCAAGAATAATGTCTGCTTAAGAAGCTCCCTGTCTATGTCCAGCTGTTCCCATCCTCTCATGACCATTGCAATGTGATAGGGAACTGATCCATCTCAAGAATTTTTTTGCTCAAGTTACTTCACAGCTAGATCATTTTCCCAATCCAGTTCATATATGGTTGTACTAACGTGTGCTACAACAGCACAAGGGAGAAAATAAGCAGCATAGGGAAGGGAGGAAAATGCTGCTTAAGTTGGTTTACACATTTCTGCAACCTGCAAATGTAATTTGATGTTTCAGCTATGTCAATCTAGCAGGTAGCTGCCACCAAAGCTGGCAGACTCTGGACCTTCGGTCCCCATTTCCCCCATCTCATGCATCTAGAGATCATGAGCCCACAGAGTTAAGTTGATTCAGCTGACTGATTTGTCAGGAAACTATTCTTTTCAACCAAATGAACTGACTCACCTTGTGGCCACATGATCACTATATTCCATGCAAAAGGAAATATTACGAATACCTGGTAGGGACCACATGTCTCAGAAGTAGCTTCAGTTTAGATCACATTTGCTACTATGTCTAAATGCACCCTGAAGATAACAGACTAAGAGAAAAGTCATCCAGAGTACAACTATGCTAAAATCTCTTGAAATAGCAAGTAAAAACCATGATGGCAGAGCCTCTGATCTATGGACAACTGCAAAAATATCTGAAGCTGCGGCTCTGCTGAACAGATGACAAGGGTTTCATGTGTCCCCCATGACACTCGTCTCAATCTCTGCTTTCCACTGTAATCAACAGATTTCAATTCACTGTGCCCAGCAAATTCCTTAAACTGTTGGAATTCATTAGACATGTTATGAAGTGTGTTAACACAGTGTTATAAATACTACCAAGTGTCAAACTCACAAGTTCAACAAATAAAATAGCATTTTGTAACTTAAGTGTAAAATCACAGAATTATTACTCGCTGTGGCTTCTCCTACATGCCTATCTGCATATGGGTGGCCAAAACCTAGATCCTCATATAAAATCCACATACAAACATATACATGCATTTGCATATAACAATGCTGAAATTATTCAAAATCATATTCTTCCTGTTGCACATTCAACTCAAAACACACTGATTCGCAGCTAAATCTGAATATAAAAGCACGTGAAGTAGACAGCTAAGCCTGCACTGTATTCAACGCATGCTGACATTTTCTAAAGCCGCTAGATTAGCTGATGAAATCCATTAATAACTACACTGGTGCATTTTACAAGGCTTCAGTTATGTCAGAAATGTAACGTGCTCCTTCTATCAGTAAAGGAAAGTAAAAACATAAGAAACTAGATCCAGTGTTAGTGAATCATCCTGGATG